TTATGAAATGTCAATATTATTACATTTAGGAATTTTCGTAGAGCTGGTAGAGATTGGTGAATCTCTTAGTGAATCTTCAATTAATTTTATCCTGTTTTTAAGAGCAAGAACTTCGCTGTTGCAATCCGATAGGATGATTGTAATGTCATATATATTTTTGTCTTGAAGATAGCGTAATAGTTTGTTACAATTGATACATTTATTATTTGTTCTTGGACGTATTTGAGAATCTTCATGAGGTTTATCAATAATCTTATTCTTGCACTCATTACATTTGTAGACCATGTAGGGTTTCTTCCTTAGTTTACTTTTATTTTTGATGCATTAACATCAGCGCATTTTTTTCTTTAGTAGCATGGACATCATCACAAAAAACATATGTTGATCTAGCTCAGATAGTAGTAGAGGTCATAGTAGAATTGAGTATTTATTAATTATAATTATAGTTAACTTATTGTTGGAAAAATAATTTTTTTTTCCGTTAGATAACATGAAGTTGTTAACTAATTTTTTGACCAAGCTATACCTATAAATTAATAATTATAATTGTAATTAAAAAATAAAAAATTTGCTTAAATATAGCAATATACATATTTTATCAAGAAGAAAATTAAAAGCGATTTTTTTTGTAAATACTAACCGGTTTTAGGCAGGTGCAAAATAAACGAAAATAATACGTATAAAATCGTAGTATGTAGATTTAAAACCCACTAAAATTGATGGCTTAGAAATTTGCTTGTTTGCTTAGCAAAATAATAATAGAAAAGAAGTGATTTTGATAACAAACTTTAAAATGTTTGTAATAAAACCTTTTTAACTTAATGGAAAATAATGAAAACCTTTAACGCAGAATATTAAAAACGCACATTAAAAATCAGTAAAAATTGGAAGCATCTAGCGAGAACTAGTAAGAGAGTCCCGCGGCTAAACAGGAATGCTCATATGTATAATTTAGAATTTCTTACTAAACACCTCTTGGGTTAGGTTAAGGTTAGTTTAAGTTGCCTTTATTGAAATTTCATTTTACGGTTCATTTATTATTCAGTGCACACAATCAGTTAAAGCAAAAATGTGTTTTTTGTCGGTTAATATTTTATCAAAACTCTCAGACGTTGAATATGATTTCGAATTCTTTGGTTGTCATCAGCACATCGCAGACACTTCCAACAGAATACCAATTTCCGATGAATAAGTACAAACAGTTCAATTTCACAAAATTGTCCGTACTACTAGAAACTAATATAAGGAAATTGCAGACTCATCATTGGAGGTAACTAATAATGTCAAAAAAATATCAAAATTTTGTAATAACCAATTCAAACAAAAGGTTAATATAAAACCGTTCAAAGACTTTTAAGCACTTTTTTGTTAACCAGTGATTTAATAATGTAATTCAAGTATATGTAATGATTTCATATAATTTGATAACTAGCTTTTTTAAACAAACCTATAAGTAGGTATAACACAAGCTTTATTTTAGTGGGTTTTTCGTTCTGTACGTTTCAAATAAATATCATTTGTACAAAAGCAAAGAAACTAGAAAAATAACAATTGTTTTAAAGTGTGTAGCCCAGTGAAGATGATAAATATTTATCTATTCTCCAAAATAGGTACATTATCCTTACTTCATTTTTAGTTGAATGACAATTATGAAATAATGCCTTTGTCATTTTTAAATACAATAGTCATCTGGTTTTTTTACAACAAAAAATATTAATAAAACGACTAATATTACTATATAGTAATTTGCATATAAAAAAATGAACGTAAACTTGTGAGCTGTTTGGTAAATAAAAAGAGACTCACACCTATTTACCACAAGCACACTACAATTAATTCACACGTGTTTCGCTCATTTTTCATGTACGCATTATGAATGTGCAACTAGAGTCTCATTTTATTTCCATACCAGTCTCTATTGCACTTAATTTGAATTGATTGTTCCTCAAAATTTTTGATCTTCACAGGGACTCCTTAGATAAATTTGTGTAATGAAAGCATATATACCGCATTACTAAAACATTAAGACGTAATTTGATGATGAAATTACATGTATGGTGGCTTAAAGGAGATTTCGATGAATACGAAATTATACTTTGACGTGGAGTTACGAGGGAATCTCTCATCCAAGGTGGACCAAGACTTGACTGCCTTGTTACGTTCATTGTAGTCGGTTGTTCACTTATAATGTTCGAGTAAGGAGGAGCGGTATCATAGGGTGGTGGAGAAAATACAGGAAAACTGTCATCAGGGGATGGGGGTCGCGGATTAAGTTCTGATTGAGGGGGAGAACTAAATGATATTCTTTGTGGTTCAAAATAAGCATCCATTGAAACTGTCATGATAGCAGAATATGGAGAGGGAACTTGATTTTGGGTTACAGAGTTCGAAATTATTTGAGGAGGCTCCTCCTCTTCTATAGGAGTGTGATATCCTGCGGGAGTATGAGATGTACCGTTTGACGTACATGATGATATAGACGTACGAGTCGTTGTCTGTTTATCTAAATTGATATATGAATTGGATAGAATATGGCTTAAAAATAAATAAATGTATGTATTATAATAAAATGGTTTTGTCATCTTTCCTAACAAGTAATAATTAAAATACAGGGTTCTTCATAAGTTTCGTTTTCCATCATTTTCGTAACATAAAAAAACGGAAGATAAGGTTCTGATTTTTTACATTTGAAGTTGCTATCAATTGTCTACGGCACAGTTTTATTGTGTCAAAGTTAGTGAAATTATCTATTTTACATAAAAATCCAAATTACTCAAAAATTTTCAAATAAAGCAATATAATATAATCGAATGACAAAATAAAATATGGTAGGTGCATTTTGAAAAAACGAAGTTATTTGTATTTGAAGTTTTTAAATTTTGCATTTTTTTCTGAACGCCCAGTTTAAAACATGAGGCTGGACTACAGTTTAACATTAGCCATAAGACAGAACTATAACTGGTAAAAATTTCAACACTGTGGGTCATTTTTTGTGGAAATTATGATTTTCTATAGTTTGGGTTACGGTAGCAATTTTTTTTATAAATTAAATTGTCTCATTGTAGGCATACAAGTTGTTACCAAAGTTACTTTAAAATTTAAAATAACAAAGATGGCATCAACTTCCGGTATAACCGGAAGCGGCCGACAGTTGAAATGTCTAATGTACCACACATTTTGAAGAATCCTGTATATAGTCATACGTATTCGAATAAGGAATTTGCAAATAAAAAGTATCATCCTTTCATATTTCAGGTCGTTGCAACAGAGACGCGACTATTACACAGACTGAGCATAAGCGCAGTGACCTTAATAGAAAATTAATGAAACTATATGGTAGGTAATCAACATTAGAATGCATTAGCAAAAGATTTCCTTATATAATTGAGCAATTGGAAGTAGTAAAGGCTTTCATTGTAGTAAAGGCTTTCATTGTAGCAAATACACATATATCATTTAACATATAATTTTAAGCATTATTCGATCCAGGTACAGATTAAAATTAACGATGTTTGCTAATATAAAATTGTATTTTACTGTTTACAGTCCTAAAGAAGTTTTTGATATAATTATTATAAAAGGTAATAAGGAGAATTCACCTAACATTTATAACGCGACGATCCATGCACCACTTCGAAACCAAAATATAATAAACACAATAAAGTAAGTCATTTAAGGAATGCAAACCATTTGAATATTCAAAGTAAC